CCTGTTAATGAGAAACTTATAACCTAATCTTCCACCTAAACATATTTGAAAAAGAGGAGCAAACTAAACCCAAAACAAGCTGATAGGAGGAAATAATAAAGTTAAGGTTGAAATAAACAAAATAGAGAAGAGAAAGAATAGAAAAAAATCAATAAAACCAAAATTTTTTATTTAGAAAGATTGACAGAATTAAAAACCTTTAGTTAGAATAGCTAAGAAAAAAACAACACTCAAATTACCAATATCAGTAATGAAACGGTACGTTATCATAGTCATTACACATACAAAATGGATTATAAGGGAATACTATGAACAGTTGTCCTCTATAAAATTAGATAACCTAGATAAAGCAATAAAAGTGCTAGTAATGATGCAAAGCTAACAGAACTTCCTTTCATTGCTGGTGGGAATGATAACTTATATAGTCACTCTGGAAAAGTGTGGCAGTTTCTTACAATGTTAAACATATACTTATCACATGTCTCAGCAGTCCTACTTAGATAAATGAAAACTTACGTTCATATAAAAATCTGTACACCTATGTTTATAGTAGCTCTTTCATATTTGCCAAACACTGGACATAACCAAAATGCACTTCAATAAGTGAATAGATCAACTATGGTACCTTCATAAAATGGAATACTAATCAGCAGTAGGAAACACTGAATTGCTTATACATACAACTTGGGTGAAACTTAAAGACCTTATACCATGTGACTTAAAAGACAAAGCTGTGGAAATGTACTTGAAAAATTATTTTAAAAATATAAAATCAAAATAATAAAATAGTATTAATAGGATTATGATGGAGGATAGAAGCACAAATCAGTCAATCAGAAAGCCTGGAAATGGGGTGGGGTGGGGAGGGAGAGCTCTTGTTACCTATATTATGTCACAGGAAATTACATGAATATTGCCATTGAGAATAGAGAAACTAGATGACTGAGGCCACAGATTAGCTTTATAGGATCGAATCATGTTGGTTTTCCTTCATATAAAATGAAATGAGCACCCTGGCCGGTTTGGCTCAGCAGTTAGAGCGTTTGCCTGCGGTCTGGAGAGACCCGGGTTCGGTTCCCGCTAAGGGCATGTACCTTGGTTGCAGTTTGTCCCCGGCCCTGGTTGGGTTGTGTGGGTGGCAGCCACTCGATGTGTCCCTTTCACGTCGATGTTTCTCTCTCTCTCTCTCCCTCCCACTCTATCTGAACAAAATATAGAAAAATGTCCTCAGGTGAGGATAAAAAATAAAAAAATAAAATAAAATAAATAAAATGAAATGAGCAATTGCTAAATAGCTACTTCGGTTATTGCATTATTGATATAACCAAAATCAGACCCAATGTATTTAAGAAATCATCTGTATATAAAATCTTGATTATGTAAATGTATATTTTCTAAGTGTAAGTACTCAGGAGGCGGGAGCTTCAGTATGTTATTTTATATTTTTTTTACAATCATGTCAACATAAGTATTATTTTTTATTTAATCCTTTCTTGAGGATATTTTTTATTGATTTTAGAGAAAGAGGAAGGAAGAGAGAGAAACATTGAAATATTGATCAGTTACCTCCCATATGCGCCACGACCAGGGATCAAACCTGCAACCTGATTGCAAATCAAACCCATGACCCTTTGATGCATGCTCCAGCCAGCTGAACTACACCAGCTAGGTGGTATCCTTATTGAGGCCATAAAAAAAGAACATGATGGAAACCTCTTTGGATATGATGGTGGAACTAGACAACAAATGGGTCTGGGCTACCTGTCACTGCTTGAGCCAATTAAGCAGAAACACGGTTGAATCATATATGAGCGTTTATTCCATATATGAGCGTTTATTGGTATTATGGGAAAGCAGTGGGTCATCCTATGAAAATCTGCTCTGCCCTGCCCTCTTTAGCCAGCCATTTTCAAAGGGTACCTATGTGGGGAAAAGCAGGTAGACAAAAGGAAAAAAAAACATTGGGTAAAATGCAGGTGATTGCAATCATGGGGAAGTAATGTGGGCTGAGGATTGCAAATGGCGGTCACCGGTGTCTCCCCTCTGGGGTTCCAGTGCTCTGATAACCCTGTGAGTTGCCTCCAATAACTATTGGATTCTATTGCTCCAATAACTAGGCCGTTAATCTTTCCATTATGTCAAGCAGTTCCTTGTTGTTCTCCGATCAGGGAATGGACAGCATTCCTGAGGTAAACTCTCAGGGTGTACAACTCCCAGCCAGTTCAGAATGGGCTTTTCTTTCATCAGAACAAAGCGATCATGATGAACAGCAAAGGATGATTAACATTTTTTATAACTATGGCTAGTGCCCCACTATGAGTAGTTCTCCATTATTCTCTCCCACCCCTTTCAATGGAAAGATCTGGTATTAGTTATAAAGAACATAAAAGATGCTGCTACAAATGTTTTCACTGAGTAGCCTGAAACTATGTTTGACAATATCTACTTTGGGATATCATAGTCAGCAAGGAGAATGCTAAATTAATGACAGGTTCACTGTTTGGGGCAGTACCAGATGTAAAATAATTTTTAAAACCATCTGCTTATAAATACAGTTTCAAATGTTCCTATCAAATTTAATGTAAATCTAGAATATTATTCTCTAAGATTATCAGATTTGAATTGATATAGAACACATTATTTAACCAACGGTTATATGGCATGTGAAGGTGAGTGATAGATTCTTAGTTTAACATAGACTCTTTGAGGTATATTTGAATTTGTTTTTTGAGAGACCCACCATCCAGGATATTGCATACATGTATGAAAAGCATATGGATTAATATAAGATAATCTGTTTTCATTTGTTTATTTTCCCCCCATTATACCTAGAATTCTTGTAGGGCATATATGAGATAAAACAAGAATGACTTCTTGACCAAAATCTATAATCTTTACATTTCTTTGTAAATTCTCATTAGAAACTTGGTTTGGAACCCCAAGTGGGAGGCACTTGATATGTCACCATTTTCATTGTTCTGAATTGTTTCATATCTCAGCAGGAAAAATGACATGAATAGTCTGACCACTGAGATGTGAAATCAGAGTGAATATTAATTAGTCAAGGTTTTCCAGAAATATTAAATGTTTCTAATATAAAATGGGTCAGAGTAATATTCTTCTGTATTTTGTTCATTCCATAATTAAAATTTTTCATTTGATATATATTTTTACAATTGGCTCATTCTGGATTATTAGACCTGCATCATCAGATAACATTTATTAAGCTTCTGCACGCTCATACATCCAGAATGACTGCTATACAAAAGTAGTTAAGAAAATAGCATACACGCTTTCTTTTAAAAATATACCTCCAGCCAAACAAACACTTTTATGTGTCTAATGAACACAACTGTGCCATTTCTTCATTGTTCCTGTCCATTTGATTCCTCTCTGCTATTTCTAATTTTTAAAATTATTATCAATTTATTATTAATTTTTTTCCTTTTTATTGAATTTATTGGGATGACACTGGCTAACAAAAGTACACAGGTTTCAGGTGCACAGTTCCACAACACATCATCTGTACACTGTGTTGTGTGATCACCACCCCAAGGCAAGTCTGCTTCCACCACCATTCATCCCCCTTACACCCTCCTCCACCCCCACCTCCACCACCCTCCTTTCCCAGGCAATCACCACACTGTTGTCCATGTTCATAAGGTTTCTCTCTTTTTTTTTGCTCAATCTCCCTGCATAGATACATTAAGAAACATACATTGAATTTTCATGATGTATTTTAGTTTAGATTAACTGCTTTCAAATTTATTTCAGCGTGTGGAAAATGTGAAAATTAAAGGGGAAAAAAAAAGGGTAAGTTTTGGAAAGGAACTAATCACTGAAAGAGAGTAAGATGGAAACAAGGCCACATAACAATGTAAAATAGTTGAAGAAATTATCTGGTCAAATGTTAACTCCCACTTAGAATGACACTTTATACTACTATGTTGGAGACTCATTTGCCCCGGTACTTGGTTAGAGTGTGGTTAACAAAAATGTATATTATTCTAGTCAATGCTCTTGTTGTTATATCTATTTTCTTCACAGATTAATCGGTTTTATTACTTGATGGAGTCATGAGATGGTACACAAAAAAAGAAATTTAGTGACACGAAGTTTTGTTCACTTTTTACTGTGAAATGTGGTAGAGAAAACTAGTATCTAAATGTAGCTATCCTATATCTTTTATCTAGTCATATTTATTCTGTCTTATTAAGAGCAAATAAAATTTACATATTTTCTCTAATAAGTTCAGTGACTAAAATTTATTTGTATTTTTTAGTTAATTGGAAAAACAACACTTTCTCAAATTGATTATTTAAATACTTAATATAACCATAATAAAATACATTTATAATGAGCTATTATTCTTCAGTTGTGAAGACAAAGTTAACTTTACCTATTAATGGGACCTTATGTATACTTATTTATTTTCGCATTTGTTTCCAAATGCTTCCTTAAGGTTTACTGTCTGTACTCTAAACATCTTATCCTCTAAAAGAAGTTTTTACCTTTTTTATTTAAAAAAATTTTTTTTTCTTTTTGTTTATTGATGTTTTAGATACAGAGGAAGTGAGAGGGTGAGAGAGAGATAGAAACATCGATGAGAGAGAACATCAATTGGCTGCCTCCTGCATGCCCCCAACTGGGGATTGGGCCCACAACCTGGGCGTATGTCCTGGCTGGGAATCGAACTGGCGACCTCTTGGTGCATGGGTGATGCTCAACCACTGAGCCACACCGGCCAGATAGTTTTTACCTTTTTTAGTAATGACTGCACGGCAAGTCAAAAATGCCTGTCAAATCTTCTTCCTGAAAAAGTGGAGGAAGAGGACAAGTTGATCTTAGGGAGACACATTTATGGTTTCCATAACTGGGAACTACTTTGCAACTTTGTGTCCCAGTTTTATTCTATTTAAACATTCTTTGACATTTCAGATGGCTGTTAAACTAGAAGTATATATAAGCATAACTCATTGTCTGAAATTATTTCTTTCTAGGTAAACAGGATTATAAGAAAACCAAACCTATTTTACGAGCAACCAAATTAAAAGCTGAAGCAAAGAAAACAGCAATAGGCATAAAGGTACCTATTTTTGATAACTTTAAAATTTGATATATGCATGCCATTTTATTTTCTAACACTGGTTTGCATAAATGTTGAATTCTAAATGTTTTATGACATTTCAAAATCTAATTTGAATGCCAGAATCTAAGGTTTTTATAAAGAATTTACTTAATGGGAAACATCCTTCTTATCCTGAGATTTTTATCAGGTCTTAAAATAAAACACAATGTCACTTGCAGGAATCAGTTATGATTAAAGTTGCAATTTATTTTTTCCAACTACTGAATATACATTTCAGTGATTTATGTGGCCTAAATAAAAAACTCTCATTTTCAATAAATTTCATTTGACAGTTGTTTAAATTTTAGTTGTAATTATATATCTTAGATCATTAATATATGTAAATTTACTCTTTGAATTATTATTGTCTGTACTCTCTATGGTGAAATTCTAATGATGTTCCCAAATTTTTTCTCTCAGATAAACAGTGTATTAACTGCTTAAAAGGGATATGTGCAACTGAGAATATTAGCAGATATTAATCCATTGTGTTAGTACAATGAAATTCCACAAGATTATATTTCCATTATTACCCATGTCAATTCTTTGCCAAGTATTTAGAGTTAAATTAAACTATTGATAGAAAAATTAATTTGGTGGCTTTACTGTCAAGTGTGTAAAATTATGACTAGTGCATATATTTTATTTAAATGTTAAAAGGAGATTTTCGTTTTTATCTGGCAGATAAAAAATCAATTTTTCAGAGTTATAGCTTATAGCAAATGCCAAGGTATTACTACCAAGCTGTAATAGCTGTTGCACTGCCAGATGATATATTTGGTTGTCTTCCAGGATTTCCTATTATGATCATGAAACACTGCTTCTTTTTACTCCTGATTGCTGATTCTGATCAAGCATTGCCGTGTGATGCGGTGTATTTTCACAATAACAGTCTCCTCAGTTAGTGATATGTCAGTTTTTAAATTAACAAAAAAAGTAAATTGCTTTTTTAAAAGAGAGATGATTAATCTTTTGAAATTTTCTCCTAATTTCATATGAAATTTCATTTATCTTTAAGATTATTTCCATAACATAACATTTCTAAAAGTGGTATTTAATTTTTTACTTATTTTCTCTTGTAATATTACCAAGGTAATATGACACATACTTTTATCGTTCACAATGTTGTGTTTTTGTTTTTAGAAGAATATTGGGGTAGCAAACTCCACTTGTGGCACAATATAAGGAGCAACTATAAAGTAGAATTTGAAAAATAGTGCAGCTGTTTATCTGTAACTATATACCACTTTCTTATACACATCCTCTTTTTTATTTGCTCTTATAAATTTTTTAAATCTTCACCTAAGTGTATGTTTATTGACTTTAGAGAGAGAGAGATAGAGATGTGAGAGAAACACTGATTGGTTGACTCCTGTACATGCCCCCACCGGAGCCCTAGCTGGGAACTAACCCACAAGCTTTTTGTTGTACGGGATGATGCTCCAACCAACTAAGCCGCCTCTTATAATTTTTGTTATTGTTTTAATTTAAGGAAATAGCTATGTCTCCAATATCAGATAAGTCTACCTTGTAGTGCAATTATTTGTCTTTTTAAAATCAGTGTGGGATTTGTTTATCTTTTTATGAGAATTGTTTTTTAGATTTTATTTACAATTTGAAGTATGTGCATAAGAGTTTCTGACATCAGAACATAACTTTTTTTCAATAAGCTAGCATATCATTTTGATTTATATGCCTATGGGAGAAAAACCTTAACTTTAAACGTTGTTTACTTTGCTTGAAAATTTATGTAAAGAGCTCATTAAAATAATAGGAAACTTTTTAGAATCAGAACCATGGAGGTATTTTACATTTCAAATCTAGCATACTAATTAGTTTGTCCTGTCAAAGTTTGATTGGGTTGTCATTTTAGCATAGGATTTTAAATAACAAAGTTTCTTTTAGCAATTGCTATTTAATGCTATTTAATTTCCCCAGTGAGTGATTTTATCCATATTGATAATGTCAGAGAAGCAACTAGGGACTAATGAACATCAAACATGTTTGGCTCTTATCAGGTTGATATGGGATGGCCATAGTATTACAATATTTTATCACTTCCCAACTTATTCTTTAAAGTGAATTATAGTTATGGCCTTAAAATAATTTAAACCTACAGAAAATATGAATAGCTGCACGGAATAGAAAAATCACAAATGAGAACACTGAACACAAAATAAAGAGTCCTAGGATCAAATCCCTCTTCTCTTACTTTTACCTGATTTTACTGAGTTCAAGCTGGCACATTTGTGAAATGGAGATTATGCCCCTTACTTCACAATGTTGTTAGGAAAATTAAGTAATAAGATGAAAGCACTTAACATTGAACCTAGCAACATAGAATCATTTATGAATTGTGTGCAGATTAAGAAAATATTTATTTAAATCAGTTATACCTGGTTTATATAAATAAAATTTTCCTTGGATGTTTGTCATTGACCTGAAGAGCCCCTATTTCAACTAAGTCTGCATCGTGTGACTATAATATATTACAAAATGTTCTCAGTTTTGCTGTGGAGATAGTGTTATATCATAGTATTATTACTGTTGTAAAGTTTTCAAAGCATTGCATAGTTTTAATATACTTTATATATAAATTATAAAAATCTTAGTTAATCCTCTGTTAATTTAGAAATTACTATAAGAACTGTGATGTTGTAGAACCTGTAGAAAGATGAATAAGAAGTGATTGTTTTTAGAAGAACATGTACAAAAAATCATTTCCAGATTTTAATACCATGTAAAGTCAACACTGTTGATTGAGAAATCGTGAACTGGAAATATAAAGAATTTTGCAATAGGGTCCTTAACTTCAAAGGTTCTTGCTCTTTTTGTAAATGTATGTTTAGAAATAGAAAATATTTTGAGGAAACAGTCAGGATTTAGAATAAGATGTGAATATGACTGTCAAAATCTAGGATTAATTTCTATTGAGAAGCTATTTTTATTTCCTGTGTCTTACCAATATAAACAAAATGTCCTAATATATGACCCAGTAATGCAGTGAGTGCCGCCTAAAAACTATCTGCTCAATAATATGTGCTATTTGGTTGCTGTCCAATTAAGAGATATTTCAAGAATTACAAAATCACTAAAAATGTTTTTAGTACCTGTGTTTCCTAGTATTTAGAACGAACAAGATAATCGGAATCTGTCAAATGAATAGTTAATTAGTTTATTTAAAAGGTTTAGTTGATACCCTGGCCAGTTTGGCACAGCAGTTGGAGCGTCGGCCTGTGGACCAGAGAGTCCTGGGTTCGGTTTCCACTAAGGGCACGTACCTCGGTTGCAGTTTGTCCCTGGCCCTAGTGTGGGTGGCAGCCAGTCGATGTGTCTCTCTGACATCGATGTCTCTCTCTCTCTCTCTCTCTCTTCCCCTCCCTCTCCCTCCCTCTCTATCTGAAGATAAATGCAAAAGTGTCCTCGGGTGAGGATAAAAATAAAATAAAAGGTTTAGTTGAAAAGTATAATCATAATAAAAGAATTAGGATAAAAAAATTTAGGATCAAAAACTTCTCTTTTATATAAATAAAATATTCAAGTGTCAACCAGATCATTCTAACAACCCCTTCAAATGAGTCAGCTGGAAACATTTTATTTTTTGTTATTTTTTATTTAAAACTAAAATTGGCCGGGGTAGGGGGTGGGTTGTAGAGTCATAAGTGCCTACAGGTCTCTAAGTTATGGTTAGTGTCACCAGCATCCTGAAAGAAGTATTTTCTAATCTTACCATTGTTTTAACCCTCCAAGCATGCAGTTCATACAATACTCATCTTCTCACCAGAATAGGGACATTTTGAAAAAAGATCTGCTGTACCTCCCCATCCCATACATTTTAAGCCCTACCTCCCACACCATATATTGAAACTTAATTAAATTAATGCATCCTCTGAAGTTGCATTTTATGAATATTCTCTGCTTCCTACCCTTAAAACCTGTTTTTCATGCCTCTGGATATTCTGAAAATGTACAGTAAGATGATAATAGAGTTATTTGAAAAGATAAGAAGAAATCAAAAACACCAATTAGAGGTAATTATCAATGAGATGAGAATCATGGCCTCCATTCAAGAGTAAAAACGTTCTTCTTGCGTTAAACATGTGTGAATGGTCATCACAGCTGTTGAACAGTTTTGCTGTCCACTATACAGAACAAATAGATTTTGCAGTTGTGTGTCACTTGTTTATACATCCTTTTAAAATTGGTTGCTTTGTAACCAGATGGGTCTGGGAGCACAGCTGTGGCTATAAGAAAATAAATGAAACCTGTCTGCTGCTGTCATGCCCTTTAAGATGCCAAAGTGTTCCAAACTGCAGCAAGGAAGATTCACTTTCATTTGACTTTATATTGGTATATTAGATCAGAAAAATAAAATCTTAGAAAAATAGTTGACACTAAGTTTTCCAACCCTGTGGCTTTTATTAACATATATTTGTATAATTTTAAATATAAATACATGCAATTATGAAGCTAAAAATCTATATAAGGTGTCCATTTGTAATTTCAACGTTCAGGTTAACATTCCACGTTGATTATAAACCATGTTTGCTAGTTAGAGATTAACAAAAGAGAGGGGAACAAAACTGGCTATGCCCAAGCCTGATTAGGTCTGGAAGTTACAGCTTCAGACACACCCCAGAATCTCTGCCAAGAGGTTAACACACACATACACACATACACAAACACACACGCACACACACACACGCACACACAAACACACGCACGCACGCACATGCACGCGCACGCACGCACATGCACGCGCGCGCGCACACACACACACAGTTAGTAGGGAGGAAGGACTGACTTTCCAGTCTCCCTGGGGGACAACTGGTCCACTCCCTGGGCAATTCTTTTGGTAGGCACATGTGCAGATGAGCAGTAGAAAGCAAGATGGCACAGGTGGAGGTAAGCACATGCACAGTGGAAACCAGGTTACAAGGCAGAACTTTGAGGCATGCTCAGTAGAAACCAAAATGATGACCTTCAAGGAGCAGCTCTAGCCTGGGACACCTTGGAAAAGGATCAGACTGGGTAAGGAACACTAAACCTAGAAGATCCAAAAAAAGGATTGATTAGGGGGAGGGCCCAGCACAAGCCTGTGAAGCATTGGAAGACAGAGATTGGCTGCTTTGAAAAAAAGCCTACCCTCGCCCAAGCCAATGTAATAAAGTTTTAAAAGGCCCTTGGGGTTAGCCCATGTGCATTCATTTGTTCATTCACCTGCTCTCTCTCTCCATGGTAGTGGGTGGGTCCAAGTGGGGACCCAAGCACAGGCCCAAGTGCAGCTTTGGCAGTGGACGTGCAGATGGGGAAAGAGGCACAGAGAAGTTCTGCGTCTCTAGACCCTGGCCCTCCTGGGCTTGGTGAGCAGGAGTGCAGGTCTGAGGCCCCAGAGGCTGGACTTCTTCCACAGCGCAACAGAGCCGAGCTACCTGGTCGTGGATGAAACACCGGGCACTGGGGACAGTTTGTGTTTGCTCCAGTGAATCTTATCACTACCCATATCCTCCTGTTTGTGGGTCCCTGAAATGCTGTTCTCATAACTCCGTGGAAGAACCCCATTTTCACCGGCAGCTTATTTATTTTAATATTCTTAAAGTTTTTTAGTTGACATATGTTGAATTATTGATTTTGCATTTTTATGAAATGTAAAATGCATTCATGCAAATGCAAATAAATGACTGCTTCATAAAATAATGGCAGAAAGGGGTGTGAGAAATGAGTGAAAATTGGAAGGCAGTGTTAAGCCCTTTAGGATACTGAACTGGCACTATTTGCTCTTTTTTCTATATAGTCAAGTAATATGTTAATATTGAGGAAATTCTTTGATGGTGTGTATATATTTTTAAATTTTATAGACTTTTTGAAACGTAATATGAGTTTTGCCATTTTATACAAAGTAAATTTTTCTGGCCATCAGTTCAATAAAATTGATTAATATAATCCACATTAAATCACTAAAGGAAATATCCAGAGCAATCTTTCATAGTTGTGATCATGCTGTATCATGCTTCCTGCGCTGAGTACTCAGTTTTGTCCTACCACATTATAAACTATAGAATTTAGAATATAAAAATTAGAGGTTCAACAAAATAATATTTAATAAAGATGTTTAATTTTTTTAAAAATCTCAAACTGCTATAACTAATAATAAATTCATTGAAGCAAGAACTAAAGTTAAACATGACCAAATAGAGAACAGATGAACTTTGTAGGTACAAACTACATTGCTTGCCCGCAACATTTCGATATGTAAACTATGCAAATATATTTAAAACTATAAATGTTAATTTTACTGTTAATGAAACACAAATTAAATAAAAATAATAACAGAAGCGACTCACCCACTGATGTACTTGCCACTGAAATAGATATTGTCAAAAACAGAATAAGCTTCTTAATGGTAAAAAGTGTTCAAACGAATGTGATTATTAGGTTCAAATTGTTCATTCTAGACTGGAATTAATATGGTTATTTTATCTGATGAAACCGATAACATTATCCAATCTTCTTTTATCAATTTCACGCCTGTATTTTTCTTCCTTAGGAAGTTGGCCTTGTCCTTGCGGCTATATCGGCCCTCCTACTGGCGTTCTATGCTTTCTTTTACCTCAGACTGTCCACAGACTTTGACCCTGAGCTGGGACCTGATGAAGATTAGCTGAGCAGCAATCAGTGCATTATAACGGAATAATTTTATAAAAGGACCTCTTGGGAACAGTGCTTTCTGAAGTACCGAAACTATAACATCTTGAATTCTTTCTGCTGGTATTTTCAGTTTGCAGAAATATCTTTTCAAATAGCTGCATAATACATCAAGAAAAGAACCTTAACCTAGCAATGTAGTGTAATGTATGCTACCGAATACTTTCATAAATCTTTCTACTTACACAGGAAACCTTTTCATGGTACATTTAGATAAAATGGAAAACAGACCCCAAACCCTTCAGATGTTTTAGCCAATCTACGTGTATAACTCCATCACTTGTAGATTACTACGTCTATTTTTGTTCAGAAGTAAAAGTGCATGTCCTTATTTACAGAAACATACTCATCACATTAGAAGCCGAAGAAGGAACAAAAAGTCGTAGGAAAATTTTCATTTTACCAAGAAGTCCTGCTTTCTTTCCAGACATATTTTGTATCATTAGAGAGACTATCTGCACATACAGCCACAGTAATCTTTTTCCTTCTTTGCCAACTGTTCAGTGCACATGTGCTCCATCAGAAATGGCACCTGGATGACAGAAGCGCAAAGAGCCACATATGTCTCTAAAACAGAGTTTCTTTCCTCTTAGGCTGTCTAAACGGGTGTGAGTAGAAAGTTCAGTTGATCTTGATTTTAATTAACTTATTAGTCTATTAATATAAACTTGGAATTCTATTTTAATTATGTTGTTCTGGCTGCTTGCAGTATCAGTTTGCTTCTCTTGTCAGGGATGGATGTAGCAATCTGTCATTTAATTGTGCAGTCTTTTTCACTTAACAGTAATAGAAGTCCTACCTTCTCGGAGTAATTTTCATGGGTTATCTCTTAAAGCTGAACAATACAAAGTTATTTTACAAAATTATATTTTGTTTCTTGACAGATAATCAGAATTCTTTCATGAAAAATAAATAGAAGAAAATATGTCTCATTAAGTGGCGTATGCAGTTTTCTGTTGATATAATTTTTTCAAGCTATTTTGCATTTGTTACAATATAATGACAAATATACTCAATATTTTTTACTGGTAATGGAATTTCTTCACATTTCTTCACATGAATACATAAGCTTAGAAAATGGAAAAATATGTGTTTACTGTTAGAGTTGTTAGCTACTACCTTATATAAAAATGTATAGAAAAGGAATAGTTTTAAGTATGTGCACAAAATGTTTTATAGTATATACATTCTATTTATGAAGAGTAAGAAAAATGTTAAGATTGTTTTCATACTTGCCAAGGGAAGAAAGGTTTCATAAATACCCTACGTATTCTTTGAGACTTTGCAAATAGTGGATGTGACTCTAGCATTATGTTCTGCAGATTGTTTTCAAGTGGCATAATTATTCATCAGTGTGAAAACAGTCACAATTTCCGATATCCTCACAAATTATTATGCCAAACATCTGAGGGCAAAATTTAGACAGTGTTATTTACTGGATTCTTCCCCTTGAAACTTGAAATCACAAACTCAAGAGACAGACCAAGAGTTCTTATACACTCACCACAGCAGACCAATCCAAATGGCATTTTTAAGAAAGGTTACAGCATTTCATGCCATGTGCTATGTCTGTTTGTGAAGTGGGTGGCAAGGGGATATCCAAGCTGGCATTTTGGATATGATGGGCCTTTTACTTTCCCAAGTGACATGCCACATGTCAAGAAATACTTTTTTCCCACTCCTATCACATTTACGTGAACAATTTTCATTTAGTTATTTCCCCTCCCATATGGTATTAAAAACAGTCCTATTAAATAAAATTATTGCTAATTTCAGTGGTAATTTAAATGAGAGGATATGTAAAAATTGTTTATAAGACACCAATTCAAGTGAGATATAACAGAATTTGCAGTATATAAAATAGATGATTATACTTTTGGAAATGTCTGGATATTTATTACTCTGAAAAAACTTCACTATCCTGTTCTACTCTGGAGGTATTCTTTAGGGGGAAAATGTTCTTTTCTTTTAAAAAAATGAAGACATAATCAATATGCAACATTATATTAGTTTGAGGTACACAGCATAGTTATTGGACAAAAATGTTCTTTCTGACAGTAATAACTATTAGTCTAAATATAGTATAACAGTTGAGTTTCATTACCTAGTTTTCTGATACCTTGAACCTATGGCTAGTCACTTGTGTGACTGATGGACTTATATAAGTCCCAAAGGCTAAATTCTGATTTTAATAAATGGCAGGTAAAGTGAGACAATATATGTTTATATAACACTGTTTTTGTGAAGTGCAAATATTTCATACTCACATTAACTGGGAAGCAGCCAGTCCTCTGTAGAGAAATCCCAGATTGAAGTCTGGTTTCAATCTTTGAAGAGGTGGTAGTCAGCCTGCAGTTTCAGGGGACTACACTTTTGAATAGTAAGTGGTGTTTGGCATAAATCTGAGACTGGCACCAGATGTAAATTTTAAGCATGGGTTTTTCCCCTTCAATAATTGACTGCTCAGAGTAATTCAGAAGACAAAAACAGAAAAATTATAATGACTTTTCAGAATGTTAGAATCTGTTAACATATTCTGCAGAATAAATTGCAACTAACGCAGCAGACTTAACATATAGGCTATTTGAATGAGCTTGAAGGGTTGCTGCTTACTTTGCATACAAAATAAAGAATGTAAAAATTATTTGAGAAAAAAATGTAAAAATATAACCTCATCTAGAATTTCTTTGAAAACAAATGAACAAAAAGCCTATCTTAGTACCAGCATAGGTTTTGTTATTTTAATACTTGACAATTTTTTATCTTTTCAACGTTTCACCAAGACAGAGGGAATATTCCAATCACAACCAATGATTGCAAGATACTGTAATATGTTTTTACTAATTTTTGTAATTTCAATAATATATAGTGATTGCACATATTTATTAAATGCAAGTTAAAATTTCTGTTTATAGTTTTTAGTTCTTTCAGAGTCTGGCAGAGTTTTTTCGTATAGTGAATGATCAAAATTATTTGCACTTAATATATGAAACTTAAAACTCACAATATTCATTAACTCAACGTTTAGCATTTGTGGTCATTGGTTGTATTGGGACATATGTGTGTTTCATCTTGGTTCTTTTTATTATCAAGACAACTAATATTACAGTGACTGTGGAGTAGAGGGATGGCTATTTTCTAGGAAACCAAATGTGCTATTTTTATCTTGTTAAAAACCATACTCAGTGTTTTTAATAAAACTTAGTATACATCTTAATTCCCAACTAAAGTAAAACTAAATTTTCAGTATAACATTTATATTCATATGAATACTAAAGCACTATATTTTCCATATTCTAAAATTTGTAGTCAGTGATAATTCAGTAGTGCAAATTATGCTTTAGATAAACTTCAGAAGCAAACGTCTATAAACTTAAATGTTAAATTTTAATGTGTTTTTTTCTTTAACATAAGGTTGTCAGGTCAAAGACTATCTAAAATAATTTTCTTTTTTTCTTCTTACTAACAGTTAGGTTTCTTTACACTTACCTGAGGCTTCTCTGGGGAGATTTCTACCACTTCTCCCTTAGCGGCACAGGCTTCTTTCATTACAGTGGCTCCAATGAAGCCTGGATAGAACGCTGCTGGCTAGAGTTTGTTGCATTGACACTATACCCAGAATTCCTGCAACCCACAGGAAAAAACTGTAGCCGATGAATTCCGCACCTACAGAAACATTTTTAGTGTTTTGTACAGGGTTTAGCTATACAGGTAAGTATACAGGGAATGGAGTCACTGAAGGAACTACAGCAGTGTGGAAACACCCACTTAGAACGTGGAACTGCTGCTGTATTCTGCATTTGCCTCCTTGTTAATTTTTTTTTTTTATCACCAGCAACAGATTTGAGATCCTTATTTCTAGAAAAATAAGATACTTTAAATGCCAGAAGATTTTTTGATGACAGCACCTCCCCCTATTCTTCATTTTTCACAAACAACAACCAATTTGGTGGGGAGGCAGCCAAAATTTGAGGTACCGATGCCTCTCGAACAGATGTCACACCATTATTTTTTAGCTCGTTTGGATGAATAAACATGTTAAACTGTGAAGTATTACATTTTAGATTTTTTTTCATTAAAAAAAAAAAAGACAGTCTGTTTACTGTCCTAATTGAGACAACAATCCTGTGGTTGCCAGTTTTGGCAGTCATAACAATGAACTATAAATATTTGGACCAACCAAGTAAATGGTGACTATAAAGGCTAGAGCACGTGTAAAGTTCTGTTTTTACGACACCCATCTTAGCACGGCGTTTCCACCCCCTGACTTCTTTAAATACAATTGTTTGTGTAACTGAAGTTTCATAGTAAGCCTTAAAGAAATAGATTTCAATATCTAATTTCATTCTAGTTTATCGTCCTTTTTAGTGTTCAACTATCCATCTGCTTGTAACAAATTGTTTCTGTGATTGCTCTATCGAATGTGACAAGGCAGGTCAGTGGATTGCCTAACCTGTGCATCCTAGGATAACACAAAATTCAGAGGATTTTTTTTGTCTTCAGTTTTCCTATTTATAAAGAGAGAGATTAAAAACATTTAAAAGTCTCTTACATTTCAGCAGTTCATTTATCAAAAGAAGAGTTTATAGATAAACAGTGGTGAGATATCACTTGCAGTAGTGGCCATGAGGAGATCACAATCTCAGCCTTTGTTAGGATGCTTGACATAAAATAACAGTGTGGGGGAAGTTGGTAGATCAAGGAGATATAATTCAGATATAAAAAATTACCGCTCTAGTTTCCAAACATGTGTAATCCAGACAGGAAGTGCCCTTCGAGGCATCTTATTTGAGTGCTCTTGTCCCTTCTCCTGCTCATCACCTTCTTTCCTCTGCCTCAGTTCTCAATTCCAGGCCATCTCTAACCTGTCTTTTCTTGGGCTATATGAACCTCACTTCTCCTTTGTTGTACTTAATTATGTACTTACTGTGTTAACTGCCTCTACTCTTTTACTTAGAATCAGCATCGATCCTTACCTATTTTGTCCACTATCTCTGACTTTTTTACCTGCTTTCTTTTTTACTAATCACATGCATGACACAAAACTACAGAGACTAGTATAATGAACCTCAAGTCTACCCATCACCTAGTGTCAACAGTTACCAATGTTTTGCTGCTTATATATTTCCCACGTTTTTTTTGTAACTTTAGGTATTTTAAAGCAAACTTCAGATATGATGATGTTTTACCTATAAATATTGCAGTATAAATCTCTGACAAGAACTTTGGTGTTATATTTGTTATTTGTTGTTTTTTCCCTTGCATTATGAAGAAGCTATTGTCACAGCTAATCAAATTAAATAGTTGTTATTAACATCATATGTTACCAAGGCCATATTCAAATCTCCCTCATTGTCTCTAAGATGTCTATAATACATTTTGAATCAGCATCTGTATTGCATTTGGTTGTATATCTCTTATATTTTATACGATAACAAACCTTTTTTCTTTAATGCTGTTGGTTTGTTGAAGAAGCTAAGTTATGTGTCCTTTATTCAACATTCTAGATTTGCTTTTTTTATCGTGTTAATCATTTAGTTCTCTACTCTTCCTATTTTCTGTAAACTATCTTAGGTTAAATTATATCCCAACAAGTTTTTTGTTATTTAAGGCAAAAATATTTCATAATACTTAATGAGACACATAATATCTGGTTGTCTCACTTACTGTGATGCTAAAATTTATCAGTGGGTTCATGTGGTAAAAACCTGATTGCCTCCAAATTACGGTTCTACATCAGCATTTTACCTAAAGCTTTTAGCATCCATTTATAATTGGTTCCTAGGTTCATTATTTTATTAGGCATTGCAATTTTCTGCTATTCTGTCAGCACTATGAAGTGGAATTATTAAAATATATAATAAACAGGTTGGTTTAAAGTAGATCTCATGCAGGAAAGGATAGATGAATACTTGAGTTTTATCAAATTTCAGAGTAATGGGTTAGTCTTCTCTAACGATGACCACTGAGGATTTGTCATGCTATTTGCCATTGTTCCTATGATTGCTGTCATTATTGTAAAGTCATAGATTTACATATGTGAAGTATGTTTCAACCCATTGCAATGCTCGTTCTTTTCAGTACTGAAGTGAGAACTTCATTATCATGCTTAATGTTCGAAGTATTCTCATTAAAATCATGAAAGTTTTGTGCTGTGACATTATTTTACATTTTTTACAAAGCACTGGCCGGAGCAATCAGGAGGAATAAGTGGTAAACATGGAAAATATCTAATATTTTTAGATTATATAATTGACTAGAAACTAAGAAAATACTGAGTAAGATTTATATAACATGTTTCACTTGAAAATCAATAGCTTTAGCTATACAATAATTATATAAATATCATAATATAAAAAATACTTTACAGTCACAATCAAAATTATGAATTGCCTAAAAAGTCAAGAAGAAATATGAAGAATCTTCATTGGACAAAGAACATTACAGGGTGAAATGTTATTAATAAAACTTTAATATAAAAGAGACCAGCTGTCTCCTAGGATGAGATGATTCAACATTATATAAATATAATTTTTCTTCTAATCTGGAACCAGAAAAGAAAACCTAAATTCACTTGATATTAATGTGAATTGTAAAGTTATTTAATTGAAATAATATCATAGTCTAGGAAAAGTAGACAAACCAAAATAAAAAGTACAGTGTCCAGGACTAGATTAAAATAAAAAGATTTATGTAGTGTCTCATGTAAAAAGATAATTTATTAAATTTATTGAAAAATAAATATTTATTAGAAATTAAAAAATTTAAGTTATTGCCATGACTTAAAGCAAGATGAATTTCTGATGATATATCTGGTTTCTATATGAAATAAATGAAACCATAAAAACCATTAGAAGAAATGGCGGACATTTTTAGAATATTTAATAGGGAAATTATTAGTATTGATTCATGAGTCAGAAATAATAAAGGAATTACTGTTGGATTATAACACATTAAATTAAAATACCACACCCAGCTGGTGTGACTCAATGGACTGAGTGTTGTCCCAGGGACTGAGGTCCTGGTTTGAGTCCGGGTCAGAGCACATACCCAGGTTGCGACTCGACCTCCAGTAGGGGGCGTGCAGGAGGCAGCTGATCAGTATCTCTCTGTCACATCAGTGTTTCTATCCCTTTCTCTCTCTCGAAAATCAATAAAAACATTAGAAAAATAAAATATTACATGTAGTACCCAGTGCTAATTAAAGATGTGAGTTTTTCCTCACATCTTTATGTATGTCTCTTTCATATACTGCTAAGGGGAAAGGTAATCTCACCTTCTGGAAGACACTTGCAGTGTATGTTAAAAGTCTTAAATATCATATATACTTTAGAAATTTATTTTAATATAACAATGCCTATAATATACAAAATGTACAAAGTATGTTATCCATGGCAGTGTTCATAACATCAAAAGAAACAAAAACAGAGCAATGTTGTCCTGGCTGGTTTGGCTTAGAGATTAGACTCAGCGTTGGCCTAAGGATGGAAGGACTGAGGGTTTGATTACCAGTCAAGGGCATGTACCTGGGTTGCAGGTTTGATTCCAGGCCCCAGTCACAGGAGGCAACCAATTGACGTTTCTCTGTCCCTCCCTCCCTCCCTCCCTCTCTCCCTCCCTCCCTCCCTCTCTCCCTCCCTCCCTTCAACTCTATCTAAAAGTCAGTGGAAAAATATCCTCTGATGAGGATTAACAAATAAAAAAAAAAAAGCAATGTAAATGCCCAATGTAAATGACTAATGTTACATCTATAAAATAAAATGTGATGGATTTATTAAAATAATATATAATTATACCTACTGACAAAGGTAAAAG